CAGCTGATTCCAGGAAGATTGGGGAAGAGCAACTGTGCCTCGGGCTTCCTGTAGTCAGCGCTGGTCAGCTTCAGCAACAGTGGACTTGGGGACGTCTGGGGCAGAGCAGCTGGGGCGCTGCCGGTTGGTCCCGCAGCGCCGCTCTGGGCACTACTGGACCAACCCGGCAGCACCCCAACTGCTCTGCCCCAGGCGTCCTGATTCAGCCGCTGCTGGTCAGTTTCAGCAACGGTGGACTTGGGGACGTCTGGGGCAGAGCAGCTGGGGCGCTGCCGGTTGGTCCCGCAGCGCCGCTCTGGGCACTACTGGACCAACCCGGCAGCACCCCAACTGCTCTGCCCCAGGCGTCCTGATTCAGCCGCTGCTGGTCAGTTTCAGCAACGGTGGACTTGGGGACGTCTGGGGCAGAGCAGCTGGGGCGCTGCCGGTTGGTCCCGCAGCGCCGCTCTGGGCACTACTGGACCAACCCGGCAGCACCCCAACTGCTCTGCCCCAGGCGTCCTGATTCAGCCGCTGCTGGTCAGTTTCAGCAACGGTGGACTTGGGGACGTCTGGGGCAGAGCAGCTGGGGCGCTGCCGGTTGGTCCCGCAGCGCCGCTCTGGGCACTACTGGACCAACCCGGCAGCACCCCAACTGCTCTGCCCCAGGCGTCCTGATTCAGCCGCTGCTGGTCAGTTTCAGCAGCGGCTGAATCTGGACGCCAGTTCCGACTTACATACAGATTCAACTTAAGAACAAACCTACAGTCCCTATCTTGTACGTAACCCGGGGACTGCCTGTATATGCTACACATTTGTTTGGTCAGGAGCTTGGGAAACAAATGCTGAATGAGAATTTATTGAAAAGTAGAAAAAACTAAAGAAATACAACAAAAAAAGTGCATGTTATCAAACCTGTCCAGTTAATATATGTTTTACTGGAATTGTTATACCATAAATGGCCTTTTCGGCATCTTCTCAGAAAATACTTTATAATAAAATGGACCCTGCTAATGAAGTGGCTTGTGATTTTCTCGATTATGGTGATTTCTTTTCCCTGTTTACAGGCAAGGACCACCATCTTAAAGAGATGCTCATAGTAAAATAGGGGAATCGGTTTCCCTTAGTAATAGGATAGTTCGTTATATTATGAGATACCTTTGCCTCATTGTGTGTGGAAGGAGGTGCCAGTAATCACCCTCAAAGCTCCTGAATTTATCCACCTTCAAATTCTCCTTACAACTCTGGTGTGATGCCTACGAAAATCCTGACAACAGTTAGAATGCAGCTGTGCCAAGACCAGTGCCTATCTTGCCGACAATACTGTCTCATTGTTTCTTTTTACTCTCCTCCTATCTGTTTACATCCATCTTTTGTTTCTTTTATTCTTGGATTGTAAATTATCTAGGGAGGCAGATATTATCTGTCTATTTATTCACTATTTGTACAGTACTTAGCACAAAGGTGTTTTAGTTCATGATTGTGGCTATTAGGTGTAACAGTAATATAAATAAATTAATGATAAAAATAAATAAATAAATAATAATAAAACCAATAAGCCTCTAAAGCTTTGAGTTCTGTTTGTAACTTTGAATCCACAATGTTTTAATAGGCTCAAAATTAACCAGAAGTTTGCAAGTCCAGCATTAGAGACAAAGTAACATATGTACTCCAAGTCTGAGAGATTTTTTCGATAACAAAAAATAAAAATAAATATCCTATACATTCACTAGTATTTCTAATATCAGATCTGAAAAACAGATACAATTCTCAAAAATAGCAGTAAGTACACAATAGTCAGCATAGGGTTTCCTCGTAACTAAACAAACATCTCAAAAAGACCATTTAGATTCTATTGAAAGTTCAAAAGCTCTCTTTTCTAGTTCTCTTCTATACAGCATTGAGACTGCAATATGAGAACTTTAACCATGTCATGAAAGAATTGGTAGGGAATGTGGGATGGACTAGAAACAAGCAAGGAGGAACTTGTTCAATGTAGACAAAAAAATTTAATATGATTTCCTTCCCAGCAAACACCAGATGCAACTTCCAGCACAGTAAAAGACACTGACACTGAAGAACAAAGGTTTAATTACTTTATATGGAAAAATAATCCATAATGGAATAACTTCCCATTGTTAGGGTCCAGAAAACAGGTGCTCAAATCCATGAATGTGCACTACAGTTGCAAGCCCAAGCCCTTTTGTCTGCATACTCTTTGGAAATACATAAGTGGATAAAAAAAACCCATGAATATACACTAGATATTCAGAAGAGCTCAACACTCAACAGCAGTGACTGTAGTATGACTCTATAAAAGTATCGACCATCACTGTTACATGACACACACATACATCCTGTTTTATTCCAAGCCAACATCTCCCTCCCCTATGAAGGGACACGTTACTCCCAAGGCCAACCATGCCCCTCCGTTCCTTCCCACAGTCACGTTTTTTTGGTATCGTCTGCTAAAGATGAAATGTGTATTTTCCTGTGGAGTACTTTGCCGGCTTGTGCCCTTAGAATGCCAGGACATCAGGGCAAGAAACCTGCAGTTGCTCTGGCAAAGTTCTCCTGTTGTGTGATACCAGTTATACCAGTAGTGCTAGATAAACAAACCATTGTGCCAAATTTTCAGTTGAACTTACATCATCTTTAAATGTTTGTTCTTTCCTTCCCTCGCAAACAAAAATTTATACAGAAAAAAAGCCATGTGACAATGGTAAGGCACTGAGGAGCCACTTTCTTTCCACACGGAATGGGCAGCTTTATGATTAAAACAAGGAGATGATGTTATTCCTAAACTTGCTCTGTTTATCTGCAAAACTTCTGTTTAGAACCTTTCCCAGCCCCGCCCATCTGGCTCCCAGCTTCAGATTTAAAGGAATAGTAAGTCCAGATATCCTCAATGAAAGTTTCGCCTTGTATTTTTGTGGGTTTTTTTTCCTGCTTCTCTCTACTTTTAGTCCCTTCATCATTCCTCCTCCTGTGACTAGAAATGGAAACCTGAGAGAAGCATGAAAATATGCCTTCACTCCTTGCTATCCCAGTCAAGGTCCCTTGAACTCATCTTATTACTAGCACTGTTTTGGCGGCAGGTAGCAAACAGGAGAATATTTAAGAAATCTGAAAAAAAAAGCAACATAGATTAAAGTAATTATTTTTTACCATTGCTAACTATTGCAAAGAGTGCGTCTGATGACCCAAAACGAGGCATACTTAAGGTTGGCTCTATTGTAACAGCAAATACTCGATTCAGGTGACTAATAATCTTGGCAACCATGACAATGTCAGGTGACTAGGAAACAAAATCATCTTTCTGGTTCAAGATTCAATATTCAGTGTTTTTCAACTTTTTTTCATTTATGGGCCTTAAAAAAAATGTCAAATGGAGGTGCAGACTCCTTTGAAAATCTTAGCCACAGAGATTAAAAACCACTGTTCTGTGACAATCTTTAGTAGACACCTTAGTCATAGTCCAACAGCTCACTGAATCAGAGACTATAAACCACTGCAATCGTGCTAAAATTGGGTGACACACAGGAGGACTTGCAAGAGACTGGACTTTATTTCCTGGCTCTCCTCCCTTGACGTGGGACAGATTGCAAAAGTTCATGCCCCTGTCATCGGATAGGTTAATGACCCTCAGAAAACATAACCTCTTTTTTGGCTGGAAAAAATGGAACAAAGTATATGCTCCATGTGATTTTTGGACAGCATCCATTCCCTTATGGAGGTTCTCTGGGAGGTTTTTTTTTAATCCCTTGACCTTGTAGTAGTTCTGGCATTGTTTTTAAAAACAGTAAGATTCTGTCAAGAAAACTTTGTAGCCACAAATTCCTCTTATCTCAAGAAAATATAGGAATTGCTTGCCAAAACTGTCAGACATGGCTAGTGATTATGGGTACCTAATATGGTAGGTTTTGATTGGGTCTGATTTTTAGAAAGTGCGCACCAATGCTCTTTAGAAAAATAAGAATCAGACTCTTTCCAGTTGTCTCTTTGGGTCCTCAAAAATGGAGGCATCAAACAATAATTAGGCCCTTAAAAGCCTGGGACAGATGCTCAGAAGCCCTCAATTTGGTTGCCCTGGCTTGCCTGTCTCAGCAGTGTTTTAACATTTGCTAGTTTTGTTGACAGTCACGTAAGGCTTTTAAGCTCCCAAAAAGATTAAATTTTATCTCCCACCACTGACATTGTATTTGGACTACACACCAAACATCCTGAACTGACTCAGACAGATATTTCCAGAGACGAGGAGAGTCCATAGTAGGCACATCCTTGCTATACTCTGTGTATGCAATGATGTGCCTCTCTAGCACTGATGCACAGAAGTATCTTCCTGGGACTGCAGAGATGTGAACTGTGAATATGTTCTGGTTTTGTCTGTCCCAACAGAGCTGGTCATGAGCCTTCCTATTGTAGGACAGATCATCTTCACTGAGTGACAAGAGGCAGGAAAAAGGGTTCAGGAAACCTAAATAGGCTATTTAAATGAGTCACTGGAGCACAGAGGTGGTGATTATAAACCATGGATAATGGAGACTTATTCATCCATCCATCCACTACAAAAGGATTTATTAATAGTAGGAGGCTGTTGCAAAGTATCACAAAAACTGGATTTAAAGGTTTCTTTTAAACCACTGAATTGAACATTAAGAAGTTATAACAACACCAGGAAAGATTATCCCAAAAGATAAAAGGCCTTCCACTGCACAATAGACCCAAGACATGTATTGCCCTAAAAGGCACATCACAGCAGGGTGTGCTGCTTAATACTTGCAAAAGAATTAGAACCTTGGCACTCATACAAAAGGCTGTGAATTAACAAATTTGTAATTACTTTACATTAACCCAAATGTAAAATACACAGTTAATGGGGTTATTCTCTTGCATACATTCAAGGACAGGAAAACAGCAATTGCTGATGCTGTTCTTGTGCAATTACTCTTTTCAGTGGGTGGAGAAAAAACACCCCACCTCCCACCCACAATGGTAAATACTTCCCTTCTGTTATATATGGGAAAAATCTGACCTCAGCCAGTGTGAGGCTTGAGAACCTGCCTTCCAAAGGGAGGGACCTGTTCCATTTTGGTGAGATCCCAAAGAGGAAGATGTGTGACAAAATGAGTGTCAAGCCGAAGATATCCGTGGGAATCGTCTGGGCTCCTTTTGCAAAAGGACAGGTAGTGTGTCTCCAACTTTTCTAAAATGTGCTCATAAAAGCACTTTTGGGTAGGGGGTGAGGACCAGAAATTATGAAGCCGCTACTGTTTGTGACCTTTGTTCCTTAATTCTATTAGTCTCATTCTCTTTGCTAGAAAGGGGAGGGGGCAGGGGATAAGTAATATAGAACCAGCTACAGTTCTAGCACAGTTTTAAGAGCTCTGGATGAGAAGGCATATTCAGTCCCAAAGGCAATATTTACCTTGGTTTTGTTCTAAGTGCAAAAAAGTTGTTTGATTCTACTTGGTTTTAACAACTGAAGCACAGGATAACTTTTTCTTTCCCCACCTCCCTTTATCACCAGTGTAGACCGCAAAACTCCATTTATTAATACCACACACTTGTCATGAATGCAATCTTCATTTCTTGGTGAATACTGACTTTCTAAATATGAGAGAAAAGGATCGTTAGACATAATTGCATTATAATTTTTAGCCATTCACATTCTTTATTTGTTCAATATGGGAGTTCCTCTCATTTTAATTACATCCTGGAGTGGAGATTTCTGGATTTACATCTTTTGGAACACAATGAAATAAATGCAATGATGTTTGTTTCAATCATCAGGCACAGCATACACTGTGCCATTAGATGTGATTATACTTGCTTCCAGATGATACCTTCCACCACCATATATGTCAGTGGTTTTCAGACCAGGGGTCGTGATCCAGTATGGGGTCGTGGAATGTCAGGCACTGAGTCTCACTGCTGCAGGATGATCCGTGGGCAAGCTAAGGCAGGCTTCCTGCTTGTCTTGGCATCACAGACTGTGCCGCACCCAGAAGCAGCCAACAGCAGGCCGGGCTCCTCCGTGGAGGTGGGGCAGAATTTATAGGGCTCTGCACACTGCCCCTGCCCTGAGCACTAGCTTTGCACTCACATTGGCTGGGAACCAATGGCTGCTGGCTGCTTCTGTGGTGCAGCCTGGTCTGTGGTGCCAGGAGAGGCAGGAAGCCTGCTTTAGCACTCCTGCTGACTGGGAGCTGCTTGATGTAAGCCCCTCCTGCGCAGAGCTATAACCTCTCTTGAAAGCCAGAGCCCCCTCCTACAGCCCAAAACTGTCATCCTCAGTACGGATATTAAATAAGTTAGAAAGCTAATTGACTTGTCAATGGAATTTTCATCAACTACTCGATTAGTTGATAAGGGGGCTCTGGCTTTCGAGGCTCTGATTTTTCAATGTAGTAAGAGCCTGGTGCCACCAGGCTCTTACTACTGTATATTGAAAAAGCAGAAGCGCAGCATCTGGGACCTAGTGTGAGCTGGCACTGCTTAGTCCTGGCTCATGTCATTTCCCCCCCTGCCTCCCCTGATCCCTCAGGAGATGGTGCTGGGGGGAACCGGCTTTTAAGCCAGCTCCCCACAACACCAGCTCCTGCTTCTCCCTCTGCTTTCTGCCTCTGATACAGAGGCAGCAAGGGGGCGGGGGGAAAGCAACTAGTCAAGTAGTGACTGGACTACTCAATAAGCCTAGTCACCATATTTTCTGGGATGCCTAGCACCTGCTCCTCCAGTTAAAAATCAATGACTGTTGCAGGTGTTCACCACATCTAAAAATTAGATTCTCTATCGGAAAGAAAGCCCTACAAAAAACTTACTACATCAACCCCCACACTGCTTGAAGCTGAGCTTTTCCTTAGGAAAAACCCAGCCTCTGCTGTAAGGCTGGTTCTTCAAAGCTGGGAGGGCATCATCATCTTCAGTCCCTTGTTATTCAGCTAGCAGCAGCATTAACTTTTGTTATAGCCCAGTTCAGCTTTTTTCTCAGAAACAAAGAATGGAAAAGAAACAGACTCTCTCTCCAGCTTGGCATGTGTTTTCTCCTGTTACCAGCACAATCTCTTTGTACACTCTCCATTTCAAAACTGTAAAGTGCACCTGAGGCATGACTTGTAATTCCCTATGGAGACAGCCATTCTCCACCTACACACACTATTTAAACAAAAACCAAAACCAAAAAATATTTATTCTTCTTGAAAGTTACTCCATTTCTTCAATCCATTTCCTAGTAAATTTTATCCTAAATATCACAAAAATTAGAATGTCTAGATTGATACAAAGATGTAATACATAACATTCTGCTTTGGCCGGGTTTCTCCCTCTCTCTTAATCAGCCCACAATATTGTGATGTGTAGGCAGATGAAGCTTCTGGGATCCCATGTCCCAGAAAGAATGTGTATAATATAGGGCCAGATTTAGGAAAGAGCCCATCATTCAATGTTCCAAGTGCTTTTGAAAAATCTGGCTCCAATGGTGGAGCTGGGCACTTTTTCAGACATATCTCAAAAACAAACAACTGCCCCTTTCTGTACAAGCAAGGAAATTAAAGTTTGTAGGGGACAGAATCTGTTAAGCAACATTGAAAATGAAATTCCCACTGTTTGACATGTGAATATTTCAGTTATACTGTGCAATGGGGTCTGGGAGTGCTCCACCCCTTTGAAAATCTGTTAGGTTTCAACATTTGTCAACGATATACACCTTCTTGCATCAGAGAGTAAGTGATGCCACTAACTGATGTGGTGAACAAGAAACTTACTCTATGGACAAGTTGTTTCATACGTGCCTATTTTAGCATTTCTTCCACTTTCAAAGGGGAAAAAATTCTCTTCTAGCCCAGTTAGGTATCAGTGGTGGAGACAGGATACCAGAGTAGATGGAACACTGGTCTGATTCTGCATGACTGTTTCTCTTACAACATAATTTGCTGGTGTTGAGCTATTTCATCTTAAACGTGTTTGTTTCAAAATCTCATTTTGGTGTTAGCTAAAGGATCTCTTTCAATTGTGACACAGTTTATAGAAGAAAAATAAGAACATAAGACAGGGATAAACAATGAAGACTTGGTTTTGTATTTCTGGCACTGGACTGGACCCAACCTCAGGAGACCTGGGTTCCATTCATGCTTTGCCACAGACTTCCTACCTGACCTTGGGCAAGTTATTTAATCTGTGAGAGCCTCCATTCCTTATCTGCAAAATGACAGTACTTCTTTTCTCACAATCTTTGTTCTGTTTACACTGTAAACTCTTCAGAGCAAGACTGTGTATTACACAATATGTACCAGTGTGATCAGAGAATTAACCTGGGATTTGGGCATCCTGGATTTACGTCTCTGTTCTACCACATGCTAATGGTGTGACCTTGAGAAAATTACTTGGCTTCTCAGATTGTGATGATAAGCACATTAAAGATTGTAAGATGCTCCAATAATGCAGAAATGTGGACAATATAAGTAACTAATCTTAGCTGGGGATCTAGGTGTTACCAAATTAATATATTTTATGAAGATTACTTGGACTTGTCCCTTGAATCCATTGGTCTTCCAGTAATTCATATCCTAATTGACAAGCTCCATTCTCATTTTCCACTGCAAACAACTGAAAGTGTTGCTCAAGCAATGAGCAGTCCGGTGGCACTGTAGAGACTAACAGATATATTATATTACGAGCTTTTGTGGACAAAACCCACTTCACTGCCTTTTGTAGTGCGTTAACTAATCTTTGTGACAGAGGATAAATGGACACAAATCAGACATCAGGAATGATAACACACATAAACCTGTTGGGAAACATTTTAACCTCCCTGGACACTGAATAATGGATTCAAAAGTAGCAATTCTTCTGCACAGGAATTTTATCACCCAGCTACAGAGGGAGACAGCTGAACTAGAATTCATTTACAAATTCAACACTATCAACTTGGGCTTGAATAAAGTGAACACACTACAAAATCAATTTCCCCAGCCTTTGCTATTTGCATTGATGTATCAAAAGCTATGAAAGGGACACATCCCGTCTGATTCAAATAGCATCCGTAAGACGGGTCGTGCAATTGGCAGGTAACTACTATTGCTGTTAAATATACTCTGGATTCTGTAATTTCCATTCCAACTCATCTGATATAGTGGGTTTAATCCACAAATGCTCACGTTAGTCTCTAAGGGTATGTCTACACTACAGCACTATTTCAAATTAGCTCACTGCCTCCCAGGCTGGCGTGGACCCCCCCGCCCCCCAGGAGTTGGTCGAGAGCGGGGAAGTAGGGGCAGGTGGCAGCTGGCGTATGCCTGCCGCAGCTCTTTGACTTTCAGGCGCACCTGCTCCTGGGTGCGCCTGTGACCCTTTCGGGCCATGGTAGCCGCTATGCCGCGTTCCTCCGCCTAGTGCAGAGATCATGGACGTTGGGGGCCTCCCCCCAAACCACAATGAGGTCCATGACCTCCACACTAGTCCAGGAGGGCGTGCGCTGTCTACTGGCTGGCCCCTGGGTGCTGGGGCACTGAGTGGGGGATGGATGGCTGGGACTGGCTGTCTGCCTCACCTTGGGGCCACTGGGTCAGGGGCAGAGACTGCTGGCAGGCCTGGCTCTGGCAAGTGCCGTCTGGCCAGAGTCTACCCCTTTAAGGGCCTCGGGACTGGGGGAAAGGAGAGGAGTTTTCCTGGTTTGGCCCATAGGGCTGGCCCCTGGGTGCTGGGGCACTGAGTGGGGGATGGATGGCTGGGACTGGCTGTCTGCCTCACCTTGGGGCCACTGGGTCAGGGGCAGAGACTGCTGGCAGGCCTGGCTCTGGCAAGTGCCGTCTGGCCAGAGTCTACCCCTTTAAGGGCCTCGGGACTGGGGGAAAGGAGAGGAGTTTTCCTGGTTTGGCCCATAGTGGGGGAACTGGGAAGGGCTGGAAGCCCCCTAATTCGAAATAAGTGTCTACACAGAACTTATTTCGAATTAGCTATTTCGAATTACGCGTTACTCCTCGTAGAATGAGGTTTACCTAGTTCGAATTAAGCACTCCGCTAGTTCAATTTAAATTCGAACTAGCGGTTTGTATGTGTAGACACTATTAAAGTTAATTCCAACTAACGGCTGTTAGTTCGAATTAACTTTGTAGTATAGACATACCCTAAGGTGCCACAGGACTGCTTGTTGTTGTTTTTAACTAACACACACAGCCATCCTTCTTAGACTTCTTGCTCACACAATTAATTCTTATTGGCACACATAAACATGAGAGGAGCCTTGCCTGAATCTGGAGTGTTGCCCTGAATCTGGAGTGTCAAACTTCCAATTTATTCCTATAATAAAGAACTGAGAGGTGTTAGCTACAAAGTGCTGCAGAGAGGACACTGCTGCCTCCAGGCACCTAGGAACCATGAAAAACAGACTGTTTCATGCCTTTGAGACCTCCAGCAGTCTCTTCTCCCTTCTACAGCTGCACTGTGCACTTCAAAGACAGCTGAGTTGATTTAAAATCTAACTTGTGCTTAAAGCACTACTTTGGGACCAGTCAGTTCTCATTGCAACTTTTAATTAAAAAGTCACTGTAAAGCAGCCCAGCCACAGCTCGGTGCTGGAGCTTGGCTAGAAGAAAAATGTAATTTTCCCCTGTGAAGCTGAGCTATTTGAAAAGAATGAGGAGAGAAACTGTGCTGTGTCCCCCCCTCCAGTCTAGCTGCCAAGTTTTCCAAGCATCGACCTCCGACAAACCTCTCCTTGTAGATAGGAAAAGTATCCAATTTACCTTTCAAACAACTCAAGTCCCATTCACGTCAGTGTGAGCGACACGTGAGCCAGACAGATGGACTAGGCCCAACACAACAGCTGCTCTCTATGGCACAATGAGGTCAATTCCAGCCTTATGTACAGAGCTGCCTAAATTACTTTAAATGATAAAGAAAATAACCACCTCCTTTTCAATGTAATAGGCAATGGAAGAAACCAAGTTACCTTTACAAAGAACAAAAAATACTATAGTGAACCTTGTGAATGTTTCTTTCTGCTAACATTGTTAACATCCCCTATATCCAGAACGGTTCTTTTCCTTGCAAGTAACTAAAGCCTTGTCTACGCTATTGCTTAAATAGATATTACATTGCTCTGAGCTGTAAAAAGCCCTGCTTCCCCATGTGAGGTAACTTACATATGCTTAAGCTGTGTCTACACCACACTATGTTGGTGAGAGATGCTCTCCCATTGACATAATTTCTGCCTTTTGTTCAGGTGGATTATGTTGACGGGATCATGCTCTCTTGTCGTTTTATCCCGGCTTCACCTGACCTCCTAAATCAATGCTACGTTGCATTGATTGTAGCAGGGCCAATTTAGTGTGGTATGAAGACACATGCTTAAATAGACACTTTCAGTAATTTCATTCAGAGCAGAACATATACAAGATGACAATGATTTTCCCTTTCAGTGGTTTGAAATGACCCGAGATCATCTTGAGAATTCCTATTCCAAGGAATGGATGTGAAAGAGAGATCATTTTTGTTAGTTGAGTGAACTGTTCTAACAAAGAGAATGACGGGTGTTCTATTATCTGAAAAAGTAGAATAAAATACCTATCCATGAAGGTGATTTTTTTCTTCTTTAAAAACAGGTTCTACTTGATGATTGTAAATTACTTTTCAAGGCTCTACATTCACTTGAGGTGCAGTTATGTGCACTCAGGGATCTATTACAGCATTTTCCTATGCTCTTCAACTGCAGCCCCGATCCTGCAACTGGGTCCATGTGGGTAGACCCATGCAGAGTCTAATTCAACATAGATCAGTTTGCAAGATACAGACCCAGATTTCTTTCCATTTTTGCCTCCTGTACTCACATCAGAACAGGTAATAGAGATGTAGCCATGTTAGTCTAGTCTAGCTGAAACAAAAAACGGGACTTTAGCACTTTAAAGACTAACAAGATGGTTTATTAAGTGATGAGCTTTCGTGGGCCAGACCCACTTCGTCAGATCAAATTGTGGAAGAAAATAGGCATGACCATATATACCAAAGGGATACAATAAAAAAAAGTGAACACATATAACAGGTATATCAGAACAGGTGATATACTTGTTATTTTAGTGCAGTGCATTTGCACACAATCTGTTGTTTAATGTAAATTCTGCTCCAAAACAGGTTTCTTTCTAACATAATTGCTCAGATACATGATCTACCTGACTTGTATTTCTTATTAACAGGCACGGGAAGGAGTGGAAAAGGGGCCAGAAGTGGTGAAAGAAGCTGGCCTGATTGATAAACTAATAGCCGAAGGTACTTTTCAAATGGAAAGAACATATTTAAATACAACTAACATTATTCACGCTAAACACACTAATAGTACCCAAGCAATGCTCCAGCATCTTCAATGAAATAAAATCCCTAAAACATTTAAATAAAACAAAAACACTATCTTTTAACATTTTTAGAAAACTTCAAAGTGCTTAAAATCAACAGAAATCTGTACAAGTTTTCTCCTTACCTTACAATTTTTTCACCAATGTATTGGATTCCTGAAGTGGCATGCACATTGACCCAGAAACCCCCAATTCAACCTGCCCTTCCCTTGGCCAGCAAGAGCATGTAGGTATTTTAGATTTCTGGTGATGTTATCTTAGCAGCCGCTTTTGCGCAAAAGCTTGCCAGCTGTCTACACTGGCCGCTTGAATTTGTACAAGAGCACTGGCATTGTAATGTACAAAATCAGTGCTTCTTGCAGAAATACTATGCTGCTCCCGTTTGGGCAAAAGTCCTTTTGCGCAAAAGGGCCAGTGTAGACAACTCAGATTTGTTTTGCGCAAAAAAGACCCGATGGCTAAAATGGCGATTGGGGCTTTCTTGCGCAAAATTGTGTCTAGACTGGTCACGGATGCTTTTGTGCAAAAGCAAATCTTTTGCGCAAAGGCACTTGCCAATCTAGAAACGCTTTTGCGGAAATACTTTTAACAGAAAAACTTTTCCGTTAAAAGTATTTCTGCAAAATCGTGCCAGTCTAGACGCAGCCACTATGTATGTATGTCCTCCTTAATCACTTATCATGTAACTGTATATTTTATGAAGCTGTACCAAAGGAGGCCTAACTATACACGATGGCTACATCTAGACTGGCATGATTTTCCGCAAATGCTTTTAACAGAAAAGTTTTCCGTTAAAAGCATTTGCGGAAAAGAGCATCTAGATTGGCATGGACGCTTTTCCGCAAAAGCACTTTTTGCGGAAAAGTGTCCGTGCGAATCTAGACGCGCTTTTGCGCAAAAAAGCCCCGATCACCATTTTCGTGATCAGGGCTTTTTTGCGCAAAACAAATCTGAGTTGTCTACACTGGCCCTTTTGCGCAAAAGGACTTTTGCCCAAACGGGAGCAGCATAGTATTTCTGCAAGAAGCACTGATTTCTTACATGAAGTCAGTGTTCTTGCGGAAATTCAAGCAGCCAGTGTAGACAGCTCGCAAGTTTTTTCGCAAAAGCAAGTGCTTTTGCGGAAAAACTTGCCAGTCTAGACACAGCCCATGTATGGCCTTACATAGGCGTGTGAATTAGGCTGAAAATATGTTTCCTACCCCCACTCCTTCATAACCTCCAGAAAAATATTCTCCAAACGTTTCTAAGGTAGTGGACAGCTGCCTACGTTGCAGTCTTTATAGTGCTTGGGAAGCTTAGAACTCTGCGGAAGTTTTGCAGAAGTAGCAAGAACCCAATGTTCATTTAGAGTTGAATGAACTACTGTCTCCCTGTCTGTCAGAGCATTGCCTTGTACTTGTACACTGCTGCCCCCTACCAGGCACTTGTGTGCCACAGTATCTGAATGCTCTACCGTAATGTATTTATTTTCAGAGCACCTGTGAGGTAGAGCAGTGTTTCTCAAGCTTTTTTTTTTTTTTCATAAAGTACCCCTTTAAAAAAAATTATAAGTTCCCCCAGTACCTACAGTTTTCAGGCACAATTTTTTTCTACCATTGCAACACATTTGTTTAAACACCTTAATCTTAGCTGGGCGATGAAATTTTTGGGTGTAAAAAGTACAAAAATAATAAAGCGCTGTAAAACTTAAAACAAAAATTCATTTTTTTCCAAATTTCAGTTGTGTTAACATACCCCCCCAAACTTCTCTCAAGTGCCCCAAGGGTATTCGTACCACTGGTTGAGAAACACTAAGGTAGAGAAGTGTTGTTAGCCTCTTTTTCAGCAGGGGAACAAACCAACAAAGTCACTTGTAACATCAAAGATACAGGCAGCCTGCAGCAGAGTAGGGAACTGAACCAGGGACTCTAGGACAACATTGTAACCATTCCCCCATTATTAATTATCATTATTGGTATTATTGCAGCACCTAGGAGGATTAGGACTCCACTGATGTAGGTATAGTACAACCACAGAACAAAACACCAATCCCATGAGTTCCTTTCTCACTAAGCTAACAGCTATATCCTTCCTCACCCGCCCTTGTTGACCATCTCTTAGCTATTCAGAAGGGTGAAAGTTTGCTCTCCTCTGGAAGCCAAGCTATTAATAGCAGCAAAAGCTCCAGATTCAGAACTCTCCGAATGATAACCTAGGCAAATGGCTGAGTTGGGTTAGAAGCTCTTCAATAAGGATCTAAAGAAGAAAAGCAGAGTCATAGATTAAGCTGCAAGATCCTCCCCCGCATCTAAGCATATAATAGCTTTACAAATGACACATGACTTATTCCATATTACCTGCTGTATAATAACGTTCAATTGTTTTGAATGGGAAATTTTAAATACAAAATGTACTTCCTTTTGACCTTTACCTTTTTCCTTTCATTTGGGCTAATCACAGGGTGTGATGTTAAAGATTATGGAACCTTGCTGTTTGATGACATTCCCGATGACCCACCATGTCATAATGCAAAACATCCCAGAAGTGTTGGGACAGCAAACAAGAAGCTAGCCAGCGTTGTGGAAGAAGTGAAGAAGAGTGGAAGAAACTCTTTGGTAGTTGGCGGAGATCACAGGTCTCTTGTTATACTTGTCTGTATAAAAAGCATGAATGGCTTTAAGAGCTGCATAAACTAGGGGTGTTAAAATGCATGTAATGCTGAAAATTTCTGCAGTTACACATGGGGAGGCAGTCAGTTCCCTGGGAACCAATGCACACCAGAAACCACTTTTAAGCTGGCATCCCACATTTACCAGGCGCCTGTAACTGTGAATGTTAACTGATGAGTTGAGGCTCGTTGGTTAATCATATACACTGCTACACTTACTAGCACAAACTACCCAAATGAGGAGTCAACTCATTTTTAGCTAAGTCTTATCATTTTGGTTTTCAAAACTAACAGCTGTCTGATAAATCTGATCAAAAGTCTTTGCCCATGCCAACACCACTTAGCCAACACTGTTTCCTACACTGCAGTGTTCACATTTAAAACATGTAGGAGGAACCCTCATTCCAGCAGAGGATTTATGTATATTTGGGTCCTGATCCTGAAAACACTTATGCAGATGAATAATTTTACACACTTTAGGAGTGAGTAGTTAATGTGGCTGTTCACCAAAGTGTGGCTCCAGCAAAGCATTCAAGCATTTAAAAATGTAAATAGTATTGGGATTCCCTTGAAGATCTCTCTTTATCCAGCCTCCCAAGAACTCAGTTTGACTCCAGATTTCATCTCTCAGGTATCCTAATTTGGCATACAGCAGAGGCAATGAATCTTTTTTTGGCCAGGGGCCAATACAATGACCCACAGAAAAATCAGTGGGAGCCACACACAAGTGAGAAGCAAAAAAACCCCAAACAAAAAACTTCCCCAATTCATTCACCTGGCTCCACTGAGACCCAGCCTGTGCTGGCCTTCCCCCCGTCAGTGGAGCAAGCTGGTGCTCGTGTTCCATCTCCAGGGGGTGGAGGGGAGGTGCTAACGCTTGAAGAGTTGCCGTGGGGCTGGAGTGTGAGTTTTCCCCACTGCAAGGGGAAGCCCTGCACTCCTCCATGGGATGGATCCCAAATAAGTCAGGGGTTGAATCTGGCCTGCAGGCCTTATGTTCCCAACCCTGGGCATGTAGCAATGCTACACTGAGATGATCAGGGAGCATCACAGCTCCAAAGTTATACAGAGACTCTCTCTTTGTATACATTTATACACATCTCATTGTATTTACTAGACATTGCATCACATACTTTATGATCAGATTGGTTAATCGGTAGGAACTGATCATCCCAGTATCACATGCTCTGTCCATCTGTCATCTATGTTTGGACTTCCTCTTTACTTCAACTGTACACTCCTGATTTACTTTGTCCCTTGTTATCTAGTTCATAGTAAAGAGTTCCCTAGGCATTCTCCCTCATCTGAGCTAGCTCAGACATTGTCTTTTTAGCCTACTGACCTAGCACAAATGTCCTGTTTCAACCTGATGATTCATTCACCTCCCTAATCCTATCTTCCAAAGAATGAGGCCCCTGGTGTTAATACTTCAGGGCAGGCCTCAACCACAAATAGTCTCATTCCCTGCACTGGGACTATTCAAACTGTGAGCAACTTTAAGCACTCCTAGCAAAGTGAAGGGGACAACTCATGTTCTACATGTGCATGAGTGCTTTGCTGGATCAGGACCCAAATTACCATTCAGGATCAGGGCATCTGAACCGTTGTGAACTCTCTAAGCAGTGCTCCTGCCAGTGTTACAGCCTTTTGCTCTATGCTTCTGTGAGTGTGTTGACCCCAAGCTCAACTCAATGGTACACAAGAAGCCCCAGCCTTTCCTTTTCCAGACTTCCCTTCACAGAGAGTATAGCATTTCCAGTGCACGAGAAGCCTTGCTGGGCTGCACAGAAGGCTGCAGATTTTCATCTTCCGAGAATGCTTTGCAACAAATGCTTTTACAGATACGTTTAAAGTGGTGCTTTGAGAAGGAAAATATGTTGTGTACTATACCATGAAATGCATGTTTACATACAACTCTCTGTGTATCCAGCTTGTCAATTGGAAGCATATCTGGCCATGCAAAAGTTCACCCTGATCTTGGTGTAATTTGGTTTGATGCCCACTCTGATATTAACACTCCACTGACATCAACATCTGGAAACATTCATGGGCAGCCTGTGGCTTTCCTCCTAAAGGAACTGAAGGACAAGGTAATACAGCCATCACCTATTTATATTGCAAATATCTTGGGAACTGACCCTAAACAGAGGTGGGGTCTTGCTCATCTTTTGCTCCCTGATTACTACAGTAACATTTAGAATGAGTAGGGGAACCGGACCACCTAGTTCCTCCCATTGGGATCCTGTTTCTCCCAGTGGATTTCCCAAGGCTCCTGTGAGAAAAGTGTCTGGCAGTCCCTGTACAACTAGGGGCTTCAAAGCTCTGCTCATGGTTGGAAGCCATGGCAAAGGAAGACTCCCAGGGACCCAGTGTCATATGGCTCATATTTGGGGGGCAAGGTTTGATATTCTGCCTGCTCTCAATCCATCTTATCTTTCTACACACACTTTTTGGGCATTTTAAGAAATCAATCCTTCTGCACCCTCCCCCAACTTTCAGGATGAGACTAGTTATGGGGTTAACATAGTAAAAATAAAACCTCTTTATTCCTCTTAGATGCCTGAAGTTCCAGGATTCTCATGGCTAATTCCATGCCTGTCTGCTAAAGACATTGTGTATATCGGACTAAGAGACGTGGACCCTCCTGAACAGTGAGTCCAGTTCCTCTCTCAGTAGTGCTCAAATGTTACCTTTTCCTTGCCTAAATGGATGCGTGGTGGTGGTGCAGACTGCAGAATAGGTGCCTCTTTGACCAGTGCAAGGCTTAATGGGATGCGAATTGGAAACAACTGGCTAGGCAGCAGAACTGAAGAAAAGGACCGGGGGATGGAGGGAAATAATGCATCACAAATTGAATACGAGCCAATAATGCGATGCAGTTGTGGAAAAAGTCAAATATTATGTGAACAGAATGTTGTATGTGAGACCCAGGAGGTAACTGTCCCACTCTGCCTGGCCTGGCAAGGCCTTAGCTAGAATACTGTGTCCAATTCTGAGCACCACACTTGAAGAAATAAGTGGCTAAATCAGAGTTTGCCCACAGGAGAGCAACACACATGAAAAAAAAAAAGTTGTAGAAAATCTGGCCTCCAATGAAGTGTTAAAAATAAAATGTTTGTTAGTCTTGAGAAAAGACGACTATGGGGGGAGTCTGGTAACAGTTTTAAAATATGTTAATGGGGGTGCTAAAGCAGATGGTGACCTATTGATGTGCCTGTCCACTGAAGGAAGAGAAATAACACCATCAACACTTCTTCTCTCCTTTCAGCTCTCACCACAAACCATGTCTGCTCCTCTCCTGTACTGAGCAGTCTCTCTAAAGATGCAGTCCAGCAAGAACTCTCACCTTTCTGCCCATCTCCTACTCTGAACATTCATCGTTTTCACCCTAGTCTATGTCTCATAGGTCTCTTTCCTCTTTGTCCTCTAATGCCCAACTTATCTCTTACCTTTTCCTGCTCTTCTCTGCCTCTTCTCTTAGGCTAAGAGAAGTAGTTTCTTTAGAAGATCATCTGGTTCTTTCCTCTGCAACTCATCTGCTCTTCCAACCAAAAAAGTCTTTCATCAACTGCACCTGCCTTTCTAACTTTTGTTCCCTATCCCTTCCTCTGTTTGCCTAAACCATCACATGTTTAAATCCAAATTTGAGAACTTAAATATTGAGTTGAAGGCACCTAAATGATATAAGGCATCCAAATTCATGTTAAATAAATATATATTTCAAATATAACCAAATTTGATTAGATGCCTACATATGTGCTAAAGTTCAAAAATTAAACATTTGAATAAAAGCAGAATACTTTCTTCCCTTCTTTTGCTTGTATAACTCATTCATCTGGTTGACGTGTAAATAATTTGTAAGCAGATATAAAATGTAAAATTTACTTACTTGTACTTAGTTCTCTGATAGAAGATAAACATTTCAAAAGTCTGCAAAAGTACATTTACAGAATGCTGAAAATACAAAGCACTTTTAGTTGCAGTCATAAACCATTAATGGGTCTGCCATATCTCTTTCAGCTGTTTTCTGAAATCCTTGGGTATTAAATACTATTCAATGACTGAAATTGATCAGCTTGGGATTGGGAAGGTGATGGAAGAAACACTTGATTATTTGCTGGCCGAGTAAGTAAAGAAACTACTTCATTTTTATATAGGATAAAAATTACACTGCAACCCATTCACAGAAGTGATCAGATGAATCATCCCAGAATTTTGAGATTCCAGTCAATCACTGAAATGCTTCAGGGATGCTGCACAGATAGTTGCCAGAATAGTACAGGCAGTCCCCAGTTACGCGGATCCGACTTATGTCGGATCCGCAGTTACGAACGGGGTTTGCTCCGCGTCTCCCTGGTCTGCTGGAGACCAGCAGACCAGGGAGACGGGGAGCAAAGCCTCTGAGGACGCCGGCA